CAATTTTGTACCAGTCAAATTCCCCTAAACGACGACTAGACAGGTATGTGAAATGAATAATATTTCCTTTTACTATATACTGTTCAATATTTGTTATTTATAAATCTTCAGTATACAAAAAATAGTTCGGTGATTTCCTTTGAATGTTATATACATTGAACACAAATTTACAATTATTTCATAATTACAAAAATAATTAAATTTACAATTGAAATGTTACATATGTATAACTGAAATTTATGGGTCAGCATTAAATTCGAACAAATCACATGCTAGCTTCTTTCTCCAGTTCTGTATCCACGACTGGTTGATTTCATCAACCTTATGTCCTATACTTAAAAATTCAACGTACTTAATGGCAAATATGCCACAGTCGCCGCTGCAATTAAACAAGAATGAATCAGTTCAGTACTGTGTAAATAAAAATTAAATCTGAAATATGAAAATAACAAAGTTCAAACACTTACCTTACGGAATGTCGTGCTGTCGTCGTGTTCCGAACGATCCGCAATCTGTCCTGTACATTTATCCCCGCTCGTCTGGCCATCATAGGAACAATGACAGCCATGGACTCCAGATTTTGCTCCAACTGACCTTGTGTCAAACATGAATGATCTGGGTCGTACACATATATAGTAGAGTCAGCAAAAACGATCTCCAGCGTAACATAGTGTTTATTGATGCACGCTGGAATGTACATATGTGTACAACCCTCCCATGATTTTCCCGCGACACTCGGTGACAGTCCTATCACCCACTCGAGTATATATTCTGGCACCGTGTTCTCGTTACCCATATGTGCGAGCGACTGATACTCTATGGTAACGGCACCCAGGAACTCGGTGTTTAATATGACTCGACCATGGACATCAAATGATTTTGGATGTCTTTGAGCTCGATCTCGCAGCAAGTCCATGGCCAGGTCGATGTGCTGTAGCAGGAAACACCGAAAAGTATGAGTTATTCATTTGATAAACACAAGGTCACATATACATAAAAAACACGAAATGAATAGTTCACTTACATCGTCGGCGAGCCAAGCTCCCGCAGTGGTGATATCGTGGAACCACTTGTAAGGGTCCGAGATCGTCCTTTGTCCTATCGTGCGGCTAGCTCTGTAAAAAATAGGGAAATATTAAAAATAAGCGTAGAAGAGTTAGCGTACAGTGCTTTATTAAAATCATACAATACTTACCCGGGGATAATTCTCCTCCACTATGTCTCGAACGCTTTCCACTTGGCATTGTCCACCTCTCTGAATAAGTTCGGGTACGTCCCATCGATGAACGTCCTCCCCTTGGCCTCAGCCGTGAAGGGGGAAACAACATACTGTGACGGCACTCTCAATCTCTTGCCGACCACCTGCTCCGTCTCATCAACAGCATGTCTCTTACCCTCAATCACGCCGGGAGTCCTCTCGACCTCCGGGGCCACCTCCTCCGCCCCCTCCGTCGCCACCACCTCCGCCCCTCCCGTCGGGGTCGCCACCACCTCCGCCCCTCCCGTCGGGGCCTCCCCCTCCGTCGCCCCCTCCTCCGCCCCTCCCGTCGGGGCCACTCCCTCCGTAGTCCCCTCTCCCATCCCCATCGGGGCCACCCCCTCCATAGACAACCACAAGGACTCCAATGCCTCATCACGCCAAAAATGTGGGTGACCCCCCTCTCCATCACCATCTCTGCCACCCTCTCGATCATGGTCTCCGCCATCCCCTCTGTCTCCCCATCGTCTGCCGGCTAAATCTCCCCTAAGCGCCGCTACTGTATCCTGAAGGTCGACAATGGAAGACTGTAGTATTCTAACATCATGGGATAGATCGTCAACCCTCCCTGTCAACTCTCGTCCCATATCGTCGACCCTCCCTATCATATAGTCAACCTTCCCCGCCAGATCGTCGACCCTCCCTGTCAACTCTCGTCCCAGATCATCGACCCTCTCCGTCAAATCTCGTCGTAGCGTGTCGACCTCCTCCGCTATAAATCCAATCAAACGGGCATACAAATCATCACTGTGCTCGGGAGACACACGGGGGAGGTGTCTGGACGGAGACACTCTCGAGGATGTAGACCATCCCAAGCTTCAATCTATCTAGCATATGGTCGCACCCCCAGATCGCGGCCATCAAGTCGGGTAGAAGCACCGACCCATGTCCCTGGAAGTACGTCTCGTACAACCTACTGCTTCTCTCCATGGCTGCATCGTCGCCTGTAATCTTCAGTCCAGTGATCAATGTAAACTCAAACATCGAGAAACTAACGACCTTGCCCCCGAGGTCTAACTGGAGGGAATCGCCGTCGACTGGACTCAGAAGCCGACATAGAAGTGCATCAATGATCTGTCCTGAATACTGCACCTCTCGCAACTGGTATAGTGGCCACAAGAAGGACTGTCGTAGAATATCTCCGTGCTGATCATCGAGCAGCTCCAATACAGCAGTAAAACTCTCAAAACTACTGTTCCAAGTAGCTTTCCCCGACATCCGTCTCAACTCTGCATCTAAATGATACTCCATCCTGCAAAAATTCAAATGTTATAGCATTGAACAAGAGATAACAAAATAAAGCATACTCTCACAAAATCAAGAGAACCGAACTCTAACTACCATACAATCACAAATATTACATTTGAAAAATATATTTACAAAAAACAACAAATCAAATTAAATGTATTGTCAAAAAAATTAAAGAATATAAATATTATTTAAATAAATTGAAAAAAAATCAAAGATTTTCATAAAAAAACAATAAAAGGAACAAAACAAATTGTTAATTTCGAACAATATTATGTATTCAATTATTAAATTATATAAAAAAGGAAATTATAAAAATTAAATAATGAAATTAAATAATTATTATTTGGAAAATATATTTACAAACAAAAAATTTCAAATTAAATACATTAAAGACTATTTATATTATTTAAATAAATTTGAAAAAATAAATTAAAGATTCTTTCATAAAAAAAAAAAAAGGAACAACACAAAATTGTTAATTTTAGAATGTTTGAATTATTAAATTATATAAAAGACAAATATAAAAATTAAATAAATAATTACTTTACCTTTTTCTAAAATTTAGACTATTCATATTATTTAAATAAATTTAAAAAAATAAATTAAATATAATCTCATAAAAAAAATAGAATCAACATTGCTAAATTTACAATATTTGAATGATTAAATTATATAAAAGACAAATATAAAAATTAAGAAATAAAAAATTAAAGATAATTTCATAAAAATAATTTTAAAAAATAAATAAAAAATTTTGAAAAAATAAATTAAAGATAATTTCATAAAAAAAATAATCAACATTGTTAATTTTACAATATTTCAATTATTATATTATATTGACAATGATAAAAAAAATTAAATAATATAATTACTATTTAATCAAATAAAAAATTTAATTAATTACAAAAATTATAAAAAAAATTAAAATTTAAAATAATCTGGGCCGGTGATCCGGCCCAGATACCCGACTGTTAACAGTCTGGGCAGACTGTTAACAGTCAGGCCGACTGTTAACAGTCGGTAACCCGACTGTTAGAGCCGGTTTTGGCCGTTCAATGGCCCGGTGGCTGGGAAACGGCCGGAAACCGCCATTCCCGGCCACTGAGCTCCAAAAAATGGCAAAAAATCTCATTTTTCACATTCCAGCATGCCCACAATCTATCTACTCATGCCCATGGATCTAATTTCAACCAAAATTACTAAGGATGCTAACTATGAAAAAAAGCATTCGAACTGGAGTTTTGATCAGAAAACTAACCGGTTCTTTTACTTCCACTGTAGATGATGATCGTTGATTGCGATGTTGGTGTAACTCCGGTGGTCGGTCGGTCGGATTTCTCCACTGGTCGGTCGGTCGGTCGGTTCGGTCGGTGAGAGAATTATCAAACAGTCTGAAGGGTAAAATGGGAAAATACTGTGAAGTTTTCTTTTTAACTTAATTTGTTTTTTTTTTAATTCATTTAATTGGTCAAAGGCCAAAGTCAATTTTTGCTACAGTGTAAGGGTCATTTTTGTGTATTTGCCCTGGTTTTCAGATACATACACAGGCAGTTCGGATTCCTAGTTAATTTTCTTAAATATCGCTTTGAGTTTCTCTACGTATCTCTAAAATGGTCATCTTTCTGTCTGAACTTTACTGGGTTTAGATTCTTGAGTGTTAACCTGTAAGTCTGGTTAAGGCTTTGAATACTGTTCTTGAGTGAATAGTTGATGTGCACGAGAGAAAACTATAATCTTTGAGTAATTTTTGAGTGTGGTTCCTTATGTTGGGAATTTACTTAAACATGCACAGCGGAATTTAACAAGTTTCAATTCCCATTCAGGATTCAGTTTTGTATTTAGATAAAAACTGTGATGAGAAATATACCTTTACTTGTGATTTGCAAACTCTTTCGCGTTATTCCTTTCCAGCAGCTTGAATCTGCCTCCCACAGCTGTCCAATTGTCCAGCCTCCAATGAAATCCACACAGAGAGTAGACAGCAACTGCTAGGGTTTCCTTCTTGTGCTAGCAAGAATAATGAATAACTTATGGACCTCAAACCCTAGCTGCATATATATATAAACCTAAACGGACCCGACCCGGTCTGGTCCAATATTTAATTAATCCAATTAATCAAACCCGGTCCGTGAATTAATTAATCCAATTAATTAATTCGGGATTATAAATAACAAATTCAATTAATTAATTTATTCAACGATTGTTAAATTAATCAATTGACAATTTGCAGTCTTCCAATTCTCTTTTGTGTGCGACCCATTAGGTTCCCGACCACGATGCCTAACGTCGTGAAATATTATTTTGATCTAATCAAAATTGATAAATTAATACACCCTTTTAATTTATCGTCAATTCACATTCACCGTCCCTGATTGACATCTAGCAATGTGTCAGGGCAATACATGTGACGGGAAATGTCACGTGGTATGACAAAACCAAATTCGTTCGTTTACCGTGGAACTATTATCCCTTCGTCAATACGATCCGATCAATTACGAGATATGGAATTGTGTCAATCTCGATCATTGATCATATCTTTCACTCCACTATTAAGTCAATATAAATCGAAAACTCCTTTTCGACTTATGAGTACACCTTGGTCAAGGATTTCATTATCGACTTAATTGAATGAAACGCAGATCATAATCTCCTACTATCTAGGAGTGACGAATCCTTTATTAATCAATCACAACCTTCATACGATTCTTGACGTACCCGAACGATGTCGTATTAGCGGCCCCTTTCAGAGCAACATCCAACACCGCCAAAGTATGACTGTCCTCATATAAGGTACCATGACAACCTCAAGTCAAAGGACCAAATCCACTACCGAACGTTAGAGATTAGCCACTGACACTTAGATAGTTATCCATGTGGAATCTCTTAGCGGGTCTCCAATGTTTTGTTCTATAACAAAACATCCACGTGTTCATTTAAGTGTCACCACACTTTAGCTCATGAAATCAGCTACTTACTTCACAAGTAAGAAATGCCACACGTGATGGTCTAACTGTATTAACGATATCCGTATCTCGTTATTACTTACGACCATGGTTTATTCAAGATCCAATTATATGTAATTTGTATCTCACAATCATAACTCCTTGTGATTAACAGATTACCTAAAAATTAGATTTTCGGATTCTATTATTTAATATTATTTATCACAAAATTAATTTAAATAAATAATAAATCTCGCCAAAATCAAATGCATTAAATATATTAAAAGTGTTTACAACCTAAATCGATTGGATCTAGGGCATAACACTTATACCTTGAAGTTGTATTTTTGGTCGATTTGGCTCCGGTTCAGTGCTGTGATTCTCTTCCGATGATGGAAGCTTAAAGGGGGATTAGGAGGAGCCTGACTTTGAACCTCTAGCCTTGGGACGAAAATAAAGAATTTGTGGGAGAGAGGAAACTGTAATCTTGAGTGAATTCTAAGTGTGGTTCCTTGAAGTTCTATTTGTGGTTGATTTGGCTCCGATTTAATGCAGTAGTTGTCTTCCAGTGACGAAGTTCAAAAAGGGATTAGAAGCCTGACTCATACTTGAATAATGCTTGTGTGTCAGAAAGTGTGTGACGGAGAGAATAATATAATAAGTGTCGATATGATGTGATTTGATGAAAAAAGTTGACTTCATTTTAAAAAATTCAATGATAGATTGTTATGTGATAATATGTTAAAAATTATGTCAATCATTATTTTTGTGTAACATGATTATTTTCACTTCACTGCATTTTACTTTCTACCATTTTTTGTTTGATAAAATAACCTAATAAGTTGAACCTAATTACAACAGCGAAACCAAAATTTGTGCAATTTACCGTAACAGTTTGCATTACCGGGGTTAGGCCCAGCAAACACTATGGGGGGTTTTGCCAGACGAGAATGGGGATGGGTGAGAGTAGGTCTAAACAACTATATTTATACATTTCATTGTCAAACTTAGAGTTTAGCAAGCAGTGGTATTAAATAGATATAGAATCAGGAAAATTTGGGAACAACGGGAACTTTTCAATAACAAGATACCAATAGTTTGGATTGTGTAAGGACATGTTTTATTGCTTGAAATAAGAGAAAAGTAAAGCTGCTCTTCATTTACACATTCCAGGCAAAATTTACCAATTACAGCATAGAATTCACAATTGACACCACTCCAGTCTATCAGATTTCTTCTGTCTGTCCGTTTCACTTCTATTAGAGGATGAAAGGCATCAGAATTACATACATTGACTGTTGATGATGAGGATGAAACCTCCGTTATTAAACTTTATCGTCATGAAACAACCACCTGGTTTCCTTGGGAGACCGACCCCTACAGTTCTTCACATAGCGATCATTATCATCAGGGAGTTGCTGCATAAAATTGCCAGTACCAATTAGAATTACATCCCATTCTCATTGGGCATATTGTAAAATAAGGAAAATATGGTGTGGCCAAACAAGAGAGAAGGAATAAGGAAATTAAGGGCATTCCCTTGTACTATCTGTCATTTCTTAAAAATACAGAATATGGAATTTGAATTACTTTTTCACAATAAAGGGCGAAAAGATCAAGTAATGTACTAACAAGTACAAGGGAAACCCACCTTCAGAGTAGAACTTGATAGCATGGAGAGAATGCTGATACAGACGGAACTCACGTTCATAGCAGGAGACCATGCATCATACAAAATATCTGCAGTTGGTGAATCAGTTTATGCCAATACCTAAATCTCGGATGTGCATAACCAGATGACTATCTCAAAATTACGTTGTAAGCCAGCCAACAAGAACAAAACTATATGCTCACGAGTTCATTGCATTTGCAAAAAAATAAAAATTAGTATGAAAGTTAATCAAACCATATCTTCATTTCTTTAGAATGTATACATAAGCCCCTAATTAGGCCCTTACGAAAGGAAAAGGGGGAAAAACCTATAAAAAGAAGAAGAAGCATTTTCCTTGGTGAGAACTAGGAAGCGAAGGCAACACTGAGAATCAGTTGTACTGATAACAGCCATGGTATTAAAGAAATGATATATATGTTCCTTCAAAGTTTACAAGGACCTCTGATTCAAAGGCCCAAGACCAGGAAACTAAACAGCAATAATCAGTTTCACCCAAAGCAGAAATAGACTTCAATGCATCAATTCAATATTTTAAAAATTCTAGCATAGCAATCAGTAGAAATATGCCCTGCCTGCATTTTAGAAAAAGGAAAATGAAGTGCAAAAATAATAGTAAATGAAAAGAGAATTACTGCAAAAATGATATAAAATGATGATTCAACATAGTTTCTAAAAAAATTAGTGCCAACCTAATTACTATGAAATTTTATGCTTTGGAAAATCTGAGCATTTCTAATCTTACAAAAGATTTTATTTTTATGTAGATTTTTAATATTGCTGAAATCAAGCTAGGAGCCCAAGTATATCATGAAGGGAAAAGGTTGATCCAATATTTTGCCAATTTAGGGCTTGCTTGGGAGTTTAAGGTACTGATTTTGGACATTTATGATGGGGTCTCGTTTTGAGTGATTTTTAGTAGCAGTTTTTAAAATACGTCAACCTATAATTATATACACCAAACTTTCTACCTTTAATTACTGCAAAGAAACTAAAATTTTTGTTTTTTATTTGATTATGAACTAGTCTAAAATGGTTAGCTAGGGCATTAAAGCTGTCTAATTTTTGTTTAAAGTCATGTGCCATCCAGAGATTATTCAGTAGAGTACGCTCCCTTTCTGGTAGTCTTTCTAAATTATTTCCCTTGAAAATCGAAGATTAGATCCTTGTGGGTTCACTCTTAGAGTGACATTCCCAAAGTTCATCATCCTTTGATCCATCTGCATCACGAAAATAATGGGTTAGAAAATTAATAACCTGCCTACTTAAATTATATGCTAAAATATATTTTTTTTCCGTCTACATGTTCTATATTATTTTATAACTACTTAATATCTCATATAATTTTAACCACCTTCTATATCTCATCTTATCAAAATTTGTCTTTTTGATAAATTTTACTATAGCCTCATAGTCTGTTCTTATTGGAAATTCAGTATTTAGAAATAATTTAAAACTTTCTCTACCATGTATGATGGCTATTATTTCATAATCTAAGCTAGTTAAACATTTTCCTTTTATCTTATATTTTTCACTAGTATATCTACAAATCTTTTCTTCCTTTTATCGCTATATTTATTTGGTTTGGAATATAAAATTCCTCACCATCCTAATTCACATCCATTTGTTTCTATTATTTTATGTTCTATATCTAATTGATTAAAATATTTTTGTCCTTTACTAGATAATTTATTATACAATGGTCCTACTTTTTTTCTTGAATTTTTAATAAAATGTCTAGCATAATTTAATATTTCTAGAAAAGCTTGGGATTTCTTAGTTTCTTCAATTTTATCTAGAAATTGTAGGATTTTTTGTACTATATGTGGTTGCAATTTGATCTTTCCTTCTCTTACAATTATTCCTAAAAATTCAATTTTTTGTTTATTTATTTCCATTTTCTTTCTTCTTATAATTAAACTATTTTCTATGAACTTATTTAAAGTTATCTCTAGATGCTTCATATGTTTTGTGCAATCTTTACTATGTAGTAAAATATCATCTATATATACGCAAACAAATGGAAGAGAATTAAATATACTATCCATTTTTCTCTGAAAAATAGAGTACATTTTTTAATCCAAAAGACATGATTAACCATTCAAAATGTCCTAATGAAGTAGTAAAAAGTTATCCAAGGAATAGAATCTCTTGCCATTTTTATTTGCCAAAATCCAATTTTACAACCAAATTTAGAAAATATCTTGCTATTTTGTATTTTATTTATTAAAATATCTTTATCTGGTATCTTATATCCATCTTCTATGGTATTATCATTTAAGGGGTGCTTGGTAGGGATTAAAATTATATTTTTTAGTAGATTGTGATAGAAGTTTTTGAAATGTCTGGTTCAAAAGTTGTGAAATCCATGAAAAATGTGGTTAATATTGATTGCTTGATTTTAACTAAGATTAAAATTAGATTTTAATCCTTTCCAAACAAGCTCTTAATCGTTTGTAAAACAAACTTTCTATTTTGGCTTTTTATTTTGTTTTTCTCAAAAAACATTCATTGATTTCTCTTTACATTTTATTTAACATAATTTTTTCTATATCAATTGACCAATCAATTTAAATGCGGTTTGATGTTTAAGAAGTAGAATATTGAAATCCGTGATTTAATAAATGCAATCAAAGAATAGAATGAGTTTGGTTCTATGAATTTGAAGATCCAAACTCACTCTCTATTCTTAAAAAAGTTAAAATAGACAGACTATTGGAGCTCATTTTTAAGCACCGACTCTCTAAGATAAAATGTCATTTTGTATTCAGAAAATCTCTTAGAGATACTTTAAATAGTTTTTACTTCTAAGTAAATGTTACAGTTATAAGTTACATTTGTACTTTTAAATAATTTTTATCCATAAGTAATTTTTTTTTTTTTTTACTTATAGGTAGCTTTTTATATTTTGTAGTATATTTTTGACTTATAGGTAACATTTTTACTTTATAAGCAATTTTTTATACAAAAGTTTATTCTTATTTATAAGTAATTTATTTACTTATAAGTAAGTTTTTTAGTTGTAACTTAATTTTTTTCTTACAAATAATTTTTTTAGTTAATGTAAATTTACAAGTTAGTTTTGAAAAATATATGTGGGCTGAAAATAATTATTTTATGAGGGATAAAACTGGAAGAGAATTTTAGAAACGACCAAAATCCACCGATGTGGTGAGTTGAGAAAGACAATCAAAATTACACTACACAAACCACACAAAAATAGTACTCAAAAAAACTAACAAGCACCGATTTTCCAGTGCCTCATAAACGGTACCACTAAAAAATGGTCAACACCGGTTGAAAAAACTCCCAAGCAAGCCCTTAGAGGTTAACTTAATATGTCTTCCTTACCACCCATTTGCGTCCAAATTCATTTCCGCTCTCCTTTCTTTCTACCTCTCCCTTCTCCATGTCCTCTTTGCCCTCTCCACTCTCCAAATCTGTCTCTATGTCATCTCACATCGCCTTGCCAGGTAGATTAGTGGATGATTTGTTGAAATTGATTGGCAATTTGTTTGATCCGGCTTGCCCTAATTTATTTAGCCGAAAATTTTAATTCTTTCAAATTCTATTCTTTCTTTTCCTTACTAAGTAACAAGGCCACATATGCGGCTGCATGTTAGCAGCGTGTCCGCTTCTTGAAAGAAGAAAAGAGTTACACGCCACGTCTCCAGACCTTTCGGTGTGCTTCATAAGAGGCAAGCCTTACATAAGCATTTAAGGCAAAAATGAACCAGTAAATAAAAATCAAATCATCAACTATAAATTCCAAATCTAATTTGCATCTTTAATCTTTTACTAATAAATTGCAATAGTCACACCATACTCGGAAGTCTTCCTTGCTAGAATTATACTTCTAACCAATCAAATTTCATTTCCCCATACAAAAACAGTGTGTGTAGTTCATTGAAGGGTAAAATAGAGAGAGTTTAAATTTTTACCTAAACAAATATGTCCATTGCTGTAAATGTGAGGATGCAATGGTACCGGATGCAGAAATATCACCTGGAGTAATTCCCAATCATACATAAAATTAAAAAACCAAACTGACTTTTTAAGACCAATTTTTTCGCAGTTAAAAGTGAATATTTCGCGAAAACAAAATCACCCAACACATAAAAAACCCAATAATTTGTAACTGCGGAAGCACCTGAGGAGCTTCCATCGGATAATGCTCTGGAAAATCGACTTGAAGCTGATAAGTTTCGTCGGCGTAAAGAGTTCCCGGAGCTCCATTAACTTCAATCACCCACCTTAAAATAAATTGCTCAAAAAAACCGCGTATTTTTATCTCAATTTCATTGTACTAATTTTTTTTTACAGAAATTGAAGCTAGAGAGCAAGAGAGGGAGAAACGGGAGGTACCTTTGGAGATTATCATTGATTTTTTGTTTGAGACCATTTGGGGGATTGACTTGCCACTCCCGTAGTTCTTTCTGCAGCCGATTGATTGCTATCTTGCTTAACGACTGTAAAAAAGCATCAAAAGAAAAAAATCAATTGAAGCAATTGTATATTACAGATATGTGTGTATAGTACGTGGGAGTGGTGGTGGTGGTGCCGGCGGCGGAGGCGAAGACCTTGCGGGAAGAGGCGGAGGAGGTGGTCATGGCTAGGCTAGGCGTTGACGGTGGTGTGGAAGAATGATAAGACGAAAATATAAATACACGCGAGCGAAACTGACAGAGATGTCATTGATTACGAATCCTAAAATTTAAGGGAAAATGGGTTGAAATTGCCATCCTGGAAAACATTTTATCCAACAGGCTTTGACTGAAATTAGCAAAATAAAAGAAATTTTAATTATTTAAAAGTGTCAAAAGACCTATTTACCCTTATCTTGTAAAATGAAAATAGAAGAAAGAATCGAGATTTTTTCTTTCATTCATTCACGAGAAACCGTTCTCCTTGAAATTTAAAAAAACCTTTTCTCCTTCGAATATCCAGCTCTTCTCCTTCGAATTTGGCCGAATATCCAACGTTGATTTTTGTTAAGGTAATGGCCCCCTTTATCTTTTCGATTTGGTAACCTTTTAGTTTATATTTTATGGGTAGTCTAAATTTAATTTTCGTGCCTATTCAATAACGAGACAAATAAGTCTGGTCTACTAACACTTCGGGTGATGCAATCATGATGATATGTGTTTTTAAGAATTCATATGATGCCTGGCTATGTTCCTTTTTGCATTCAAACACAATTTGAAAATTGAGACATTTTGGGTTTAATGGCACAATTATTGGGATCGAGGGGATTATATCGGTTTGTGTCAAGCATCAATGTGCATTACATAGACTTGAACATTTTTCCTCACTAATCAATGGTTCTTAGGTGAGTCAAGTTAGAACATGGTAGTATTGACCACCGACCTATGGTCTCATAAGAGCCATTCGCAGGCCCACCTTAGGCTGATGTGAGCTCGGCCACAAAGTTCAGATTGATATACTACCGTTGTAGTTTTAAGGGACATAATGATTATGTCTTGTCACATCACCCTCTCAATCACATATACTTGTAAAGGATGACGTCATCACCGTCCAAAACCAGTAATCCAAAGCCCCGAATCTCCAACCTCCTGCAAGCCATCATTACCTCATAAAACATTGGCACGTGACAACCGACTTCGTCAACCAATCACAAAAGAATTCTATGACTCGAATTTCGAGCTCGGTCCTGTAGCTGATTTGATTGATTTGATGTAATTTCAGCTATGGTCATGTATAAATAGTAGAGAAATGCTTTTCTTGAAGGAGGGTGAACTTTCATACAAAGACACCACACAATTAAGCCTTCTCAAGATACAACTGTAGTCATTTTCATGATAAGGGAGATCACCCTTTTTCTTAAAGTTGACTCGAGATTAATTCTTACAAATCTTGACGTCAACGGGTAGTATTTTCAGTAAGCATTACATTTATTACAAAAAAAATTGTGATTCTTTCTAAATCAGGGCATTATGAATCTTTGTTGTTTATGCATTTTTTAGCAAATCAAGTAGAGAGCGTGAGCCAACAGTCTTGTTAAAGGAATAACAATAAAAATGTGCAGTTGCATTAACCCTGTTCTTTGTCGTCATGTCCTTGTCTGCCTATCTATGAGACTAACATGTATTTTTCACGTTTAGCATGCGCTTTTGTTATTGGAAGCACATTAAATAAGAGATTTTTGACGTTTTAATCACATTATCAAAAAATTTACTCATTTCCCCAACTTCCTATTGCCATTTTCTCTATATCTTTATAAATTGTTTCTAGAGCCATGCTTCTAGTTGTGAAAGGCTTCCTAATTCTTCAAAAGGTATTTATTCAATGCCTATTAACCAACCTTTCAATTTGAATTACAAGTGGAAGTTGGCATCCTTTATTGTTCTTTTTTAATAAAATTGTTGTGATTTTTCTAGCTTCAATTTCTGCTATCCATTTCCATGGATAAAAATAAAAAACTATATTAGCAATTTTAAAGTTAGCTTCTTTTTGGGTTTCATTCACTTTTAATTCGTATGCACTTATTTAAATTGCCGTCCTATGTTCAAATTCATTTGATTTACCTCTACGTAATTTGGCATATCACTTTTGGTAGAACTCTCATATTAGTGGTATTTTCATAATTAGGATTAGGATTTGATTTGTGCTAATTGCCTAATTTCTTAATTTTTATTACTATTTGGTTGTGTAGTTTTTTAGCCATCTTTTTTTCTTCTTCTGCCGAGGTCGATGATTGTAGAAAGTTTTAAAGGGAACAACGTCTTCAGTGGGGGTTGAGTTCGAAATCTGTCTTCTTCAAACCAAACTACAAGCTCACATTTAGGAAATCAATGTAAGTTTTTCGTATTTTTAAATGTAGTTCATAGGATATGGATTTGATTGTCAAATTATTGGGTTTTTGTTGGTTGAGTTTGATAATTTGTTGCTTCTTCTGAACCATGTGTATTGGGTTTTTATATTATTATTATTATTATTATTATTTTGGTTTCTAGCGAGAATGATACTTAATTTTTGCTCTCTGAATTTGAAGAATTGAATTTTGTTTACTCAGTTGTGTAGTTTTTTTAGCCATCTCTTCTCCCTTTTCTACTGAGGTCAATGATTGTGAAAAGTTTTAAAGGGAACGACGTCTTTAGTGGGGGTTTAGTTCGAAATCTATCTTCTTCATTTTCAACCCAACTACAGGGTCACATTTCGAAAAACTAACGTAAGTTTTCCGTATTTCAAATGTAGTTCACAGGAAAGGAATTTGATTGTCGAATAATAATTTTTATTGGTTGCGTTTGAAAATCTATTGCTTTTTCTGAACCATGTGTATTGGGTTTTTATATAATTTTTTTTTTTGTTTCTAGTGAGAATGATACTTGATTTTTGTTCTCTAAATTTGAGGAATTGACTTTTGTTTACTGTCATAAGTTGTTTTAATATTTTTATATGTTTTATGATTTGCAGTGCTATGAAGAAGGTTTAAGTTGATGCTACAATCACAACAAGATGTGATTGCAAGTAGTACAAGATTTTGACGAGATGCTTGATAAAAATTACAAAAACAACATTCCGAGAGCTGCTTCGGATCTTTTCTTGTTGGAGTAGTTGTTACTTTCATAATGTTGTTAGGATGTTGACCAACTATTAGCTAGCGCATTTGCAACCGTACTGATTTTGGATATTTAATATAATTTAAATGTACTTATCTTCGTAGCCTTTTATAACTTTTAAGTTTATATATTGTACATGTCTAGATTGTTGATATTGTGCATACTCAATCTAATAACTAAATACACTTCGTTCCTGTGACACATAAAGTATTAATTTTTTTAGTACAAAAATACACTCATTCTAATAACGACATTGAAATCATTCCTGAAGTACAAAATGATATAGATATCTTTTCAATATGAAAAGTGCACTGATTAACATTACGATATTGAAATCGTTCTTGTAACAAAAATGATTTAGATATCGTTTTAGTATGAAATGCACACTACTTTACTAATTTTCGTAACGACGTAGAAGTCGTTATGGTTATGCATAACGACATAGAAATCATTCTTCAAACAGAGCATGCACCCGTTATAATTGGTTATTCTCAGTACCTCTTAGTAGCTGCCCGGATGCCGTGCCAACTCTGCAGGCTTAGGCATGAGCCTGGATGACTTTTACATTTTCTTCAATTGAGTCATCCAAGTAATTTCAACCTAGGTCCTTTAACGATATAGATGTCATTTCTTCTCATATAAAACGGCAATTATGCCGTTATAGTGTCAAACCCATGAAATAACGTGATGGCATCCACATCGTTTCATTTCAAATTTAACAAGTGTGAACTCATTTCAGTTGAAATAGTAACTAAAACGACATAAATGTCGTTTCTTCTTGTATAAAATGACAATTATGTCATTGTAGCGTCAAGCTACGAAATAACGACATCCATATCGTTTCATTACAAATTTAACGAGTTTGAATTCGTTTTAGTTAAAATTGTAATTAACACGACATAATGTCATTTCTTCTCATATAAAATGATAATTATGTCATTGTAGTGTCAAACCTCACAAAATAACGTAATGATATCCATATCGTTTCAGTACAAATTTGACGAGTTTGAACTCATTTCAGTTAAAATCGTAACTAAAATGACATAAATGTCATTTTTCTCATATGTGTCAAACCTACAAAATAACATAACGACATCCATATCATTTCATTACAAATTTGACTAGTTCTAAATCGTTACATTTGAAATGATAACTACAATGATATTGATATCGTTTCTTCTCATATACGACGATAATCATATCATTATGCTTAAAAATGATGATTCGACCATCCATGGCCACCCAACATACATTCGTCGTTTGTAGGACGACAAAAATAAGTCATCGAGTTAGTTCAATCTCACTTAGAAGAAACTATAGGAATATATGTGTTTCCATAGTTGTCTATCACCTTTGAGTTGTTTTGATGGAAAGAATGTATCTCTGTTCACACTTTCTGAGCCATCCGGGTGCTATCAGTCCACTTGACGTCCTCTTTTAATCATCATACACATGTTGGATGCATGTCGATGGTCATAGACGGTTGAATAGTCATTTTTAACAAAATAGATATAATTATCATTTTATATATAAAAAAAAGATATATATGTCGTTTTAGTTACAATTTAAATTGAAACGATATCAATGTTATCAAAAGTATATTGAAACGATAATGATATCGTTATGTATCAAACCACGAAATAACATAACGTTGTTCAAATCATTTTAGTATAAATTTGACGAGTTTGAAATCTTTTCAGTCCAAATAATAATTACGACGACATAGATCTCATTTCTTTTAATACAAAACGTTAATTATTTGTTTTGGATAAAGATAACGATTCGTTCATCCACAACCATCCAGCATGCTTTCAACATATGTAGGATGATAAAAAAAGGTCATCAAGTAGATTGATGCCACTCAAATGATTTAGAAAGGATGAATGGAGATACTTATATCTGTCGGAATAGTTCGAGAGTTGTATACGATTGTGAGAACATGAATATTCTCATAGTTTCTTTTGGGTGAAATCTAACCCACTTGATGATCTATTTCGATCGTTCTACATATGTCAGATGCATATTGGGTGGTCATGGAAGGTCGAATTGTCGTTTTAGCAGAAACGATATATTTATCATTTTATATAAACTAAAACAATATATGTTGTTTTAGTTATGATTTAAACCGAAATAATATCAATGTC